TTTGGCTCAGTGGTTAGAGCATCAGCCTGCGGTCCACAGAGACCCGGGTTCGGTTCCTGCTAAGGGCATGTACCTTGGCTACAGTTTGTCCCCGGCCCTGGTTGGGTCGTGTGGGTGGCGGCCACTCGATGTGTCCCTTTCACATCGATGTTTCTCTCTCTTCCTCTCTCTCCTTCCCACTCTATCTGAGTAAAAAATGGAAAAATGTCCTCGGGTGAGGATAAAAAAAAAAAAAAAAAAGAAATTAAAGATAAACATGATTTCAAAAAGAAAGCAGAGCAAAGAATGTGCATTTGCAAGGTCATCCGGTCTTTGGGGCTCTGCCCTACATAAAATATAAAAAAAGCAAAACCATCCCGTGGCCCTTGCGACAGGAGACATGTTTTGGGGTGAACGGTTTTCTGTTCTGAGAGCCATCTGAGGAGGGAAACATTAGGAGCCGAGCAGCTCTAATTCTGGTTACTTAATTCGCAGTGCTCACCGAGGTGGCGAGCAAGTCTGTTTGTCTCCACTGAGCAGGGCGAGCTGTCAGCAGAATGCCAAGTAGCTATTTCAGCAGCGCCGATTGATTTTCAGGGATGGCACAGATGTGACCTCCTCAGTCAAAGTCAATGTTTTCTTGGCCCTCAAAATTTCAGAAAAGTACAAATGCAAATGAAAAATAATGACAAGGCCCACATGTCGCCCCAGAGTCATTGCCTCAACCATCACTAATGCCTGCTAGGCTTCCAGCACCCTGCTAGGTGCTGACAATGACATAAAAATCATCAAAGACATAGCTCCTGTTCTCTACAACAGGAATAATGATAGAGGAGCAGAAGTGATATCGTGTTAAAGATCACAGAGTTTATCATTTCTTTTGCCACCTATATCCTGCTTCTTAAATTAAACACTATCAGACAAACGGAAGCAGGCTTTGCCTATGACCTTTTTGTCTAGACTGCCCTTTTCTTTATCCTCCTGAAGAACTTCCATATGGAATGCAAAGTCCAGCATGACCGTCACCTCGATGACATGAAGCCTCAAGGGCCATGCCCACACCACAATTCTCATCACTTTCTCTGTGCAACCTTTAGACCACCCCTCCATCCGCACCATTGCAGTTCAAGATGTTAATGGTAAATATCTAGGGGTGTGTCTGAATCCCCCACTCACTGGGAGACCCCTTTTGGTAGAGGTTCTTCTAGATTCTGGCTGTTCTTGAGAATCATCTCTGGGTATGTTTTAAAATAAAATACAGAAATTCAGGTTTCAAACCAGACCCACTGGCTCAGGATTTCCCGGGTACAGGGAAATTGTTTTATTTTCTCTCTGCAGGTGACACTGACTTACAGTCAGAGCTGAGCCCCACTCACTGTGCCCGATGCCTTTTTATAGCTCCAATGCCAGGGACACAGCAGGTGCTCAGGTCATGCTGTGGACTGAATGAATTACTCACATCCACCGCATGTCTCTTTGTAGGTACATATCTAAATTATACTAGCACCAACTTGCTGGGGTCAACTCGAATGGTTGCGAAGGGTTATCTTGAAGCTGTCGCGGTTTCTGCAGCTACATTCTTTGGTGGGTCCCAGTGCAATAGCATTCAGATAAAGGCAGTGGTCTGAGGTGGAAATATTTTCTTTTGAACAGTAATTGTATGAAGTTTTGCAATAAACAAGTTAGAATCTAAAGGTAGAAGAGATTTATTGCCAAAATGTGACAAGGAAATAAAGATTAGTTGTAAAAGGCCTCTCTGTATATTCACAACCATCCACATTCAGACTAGGAAAAAAATCCCAAGAAGTTATTTATTCTAAGGTCTATGACCAAATTTCTCACTGCCCAAATGGACATTTACACTTTCAGATGACACACTCGGAATGAAACTTACTGTATTCTTCCTAAACCGCTCCTCCTGCTTATGGCTGCAGTTGGAGAGTGACGTTTTCATGGCAGTAAGACGTGTTATGTGATCAAGGACTTGGAATGTGAGCATCTGGTCTCGCCCCTTGCGAGAGAAGAGAGGTAGCTACACGGAGAAGAGAGGTAGCTACACAAAGAATAGCCGAGCCCTGGCCGATTTGGCTCGGAGGTTAGAGCGTCGGCCTGTGGTCCAGAGAGACCCGGGTTTGGGGTTTGGTTCCCCCTAAGGGCACGTACCTCAGTTGCAGTTTGTCCCCAGCCCTGGTTGGTTGTGCGGGTGGCAGCCATTCAATGTGTCCCTTTCAAGGAGACAGACACACGCCACCTGGGTTCGCTTACCCAGGGGCAAGAAGGGAAAAGACCGAGAGCATGGACCCCTGGCTGCAAGACACAGCAACCCTGTCTAGGAGGAAAATACAGCCCACAAGGCTGAGGGTGAGACCGTGGATTGAAGAGCATTTATACTGAGCACTGACTTTTGTCACACACAAACACCGTCCTTTACATTTATCATCTCATGTTATTCTAACAGAAACCACTGGATGAAACTATGATCCCTCTTTTCAGATGAGGAATCTGAAGCTCAGAGAAATTAGGTACCAGCTCAGATCACATATCTGGGAGGAAGCAGAAGGGGATTGAAACCACGGTTTCTAATTCCCACTCCTGTTCTTTCCTCTGACACAGAGGTCCCTGTCCCCTCCCCCCACGTCATTCGCCTCTGCTTGCATATCCTCCTTGTCATTGGCATCACTCCCCCTGGGGGCGAGGTCTTTTGGCAGGTCCGCCCACAGCCATTTCGAGGAGCTGGGTTTCCTCTTTCCTTAGCCAGACCCTGTGGAGAGAGAGTCCAAGTGCAGTGCCTCCTGGGATAGGATCCATTCAGAAAGCACTGTCAGCCCTTCACCTTAACCAGCGATGTTTCATCCTATTCCTTTGAAGAACCTAGGCTTGTCCTCTGCATACAATTATAAAACACTGGCTCATTGTCAGTGGAGATGACTTGGTCAAAAAGATTGCAATCACGCCCCGATTTGGCTCAGCAGTTAGAGCATTGGCCTCGGTCCGGAGAGACCCGGGTTCAGTTCCCGCTAAGGGCATGTACCTCGGTTGCGTTTGTCCCCGGCCCTGGTTGGTTGTGCGGGTGGCGACCACTCAGTGTGTCCCTTTCACATTGATGTTTCTCTCTCTCTCTCTGTTCCTCTCTCTCCCTCCCACTTTTCCTGAACGAAAAATGTCCTCGGGTGAGGATGATTAAAAAAATAAAAAATAAATAAATTAAAAAAAAGATTGCAATCACTACGTGTGGGGCCAGGTGGGTATTTAAAACAGCAAGGACCTCTCTGTAAAGCACATGGTTGGCTCACCACTATGCTGTGCATCTGAAACTAACAGAGAGTAATAGTTGCCTGGCCGGTGTGGCTCAGTGGTTGAGTGTTGACCCATGCACCAAGAGGTCACTGGTTTGATTCCTGGTCAGGGCACACGCCCAGGTTGTGGGCCTGATCCCCAGTGGGGGACACGCAGGAGGCAGCCAATTGATGTTCTCTCTCATCAATGCTTCCATCTCTCACTCCCTCTCCCCACCTCTCTCTTTAAGATCAATAAAGAAAAAAAAATTTTTTTAAAGAGAGAGTAATAGTGAATGTAAACTGTGAGGAAAAAAACAAAGAAACCGCCAAACAATAAAAGTGTTTGAAAGTGAGATTTTGGATAAAATAGATCTGGGTTTCAGCTACTTTCCAACTTGGACCTGCTTATTTCTCCTGCTTCCTGCCCTTAAATTCATCCTCTCAGAGTCCCCCAGACACAGGGTCCTCCCTCAGATCCTCAAACACACCAAGTTCTTTCTTCGGGGTTTCCGGTCATGATGTTGTTTCTTCAATAACTAGCTTCCTCTTACGGTCCGTTTGCTTATCGCCTGCTTGTTCAGCCGGCCTCCCCAAAGGACCCCAGCCTCTCTTCTCTCATTGCTACTTGTCACTACTTGTATTGCGTTCCTGGCGGTGTTTATGGGTGCAATGCCTGTCTCCCCTACAAAAGGGAAAGAACTCAATGAAGGCAAAAGCCTTATCAGCTTGGTTCACCAGTGCTCAGTCCATAGCTGGCCTCTGACATTAGTTTTGAATGAATGAATAAATTACATGGTTAAGTTACTTAATCTATAGGAGCCTATGTCCTTATCTGTACACTGATGGTATTAACTACAATTTCTCAGTTTTTAGAATAAAGTGAGGTGATAAATAGCCCAGTGTATACTGGGACAATAGTCAGTACCCCATAAATATCATTCAAGACCCCAGAGTTCTTAACTTAATTCTGTGACTAAATTATTTCCCATGTGACCTGGGGTAAGTACTCTGCCTCCTCTGTCTCCTCACTTTCTTTTATTAATAGGTCATACCATATGAAAACACTCGAAAAACAGTAATCTCATCATTTTAATGTGTCTAGGATTTTTATACAGGGAAGTAAAATATAATTCAATAGTTTCAGACCTATTACAACAACTTGTAAGCAAGATGGAGAGAGGGCATGTCTGCCCCATGCAGTGAATAGTGGTGTGAACAGACAGGGATTCAAAAGAATTGCCCAAACCATATTACAACTCAGTGGGAAAGTCAAGTTTTTATGGGGTATTAGGCCTCCAGGGTCCCTTTTACCCCTGATTTAGATATTCTTATTTTCACTTCTCTGGTTTGGGGGAATTGATGGGATTCTTTGTCTCGCCCTACATTCCTGATCAGACATCCCTGAGTTTACCTTTACCGGCTCATCCCCAGGTGCGTCACTGAAGGGCAATGAACTTTGTTCTTGCCTGTAGTTACCAACAGCTGTTATTTCAGCCCCAGTCAGGAATGGCCTACATACACATTCCTGCAACCACACAAAAGCTGATGATAATCGGCACTGACTGGCGAATCCGAATGCATCTCTTTCATGGTGGATGGAGCTAAATAAAGAAGTATAAAATGTGCATGGTACTGCATCATCAATTTCTCAAACTTCTTTCTTTGGTTCCTTATTTCTTATGTTCCAGAAACTGCAGTCACCTAGCGACCTGTGGAGCTCAGGAAGCTGACGGTGTGACTGAACTAGTCCCGGGGGGCTGCACAGCAAAGGCAGTCGGGGTCCTGGTCGGCTGGAGATTCCATCTGAATGGTGAGTGAATGCACCACGGGGAAGCTGTTGCTGAGGGCATTAGCAATCTCTCTCCGGACACGGTGGCTGTCCCAGCTGGCTGCTGTTGAAAAAGGAACCACAGTGAGACTGCCATTGATCCCACACACAAGGCGACTACTAAATCTCCAACTTCAAGTACGCTGTGAGGTGGGGCACTGCGGACCAGGCACTCAGAAGCAGCTTGGCTCTGACCATCAGCTACATCTGCACAGACAAGGCGGGGGTGGGCTGGGGGAATTCATGCAAGGGCAACAAAGTAGCCTGTCACTGTGAGAGCTTTTCCCCCGGTTTTCTCTGGGGTCTGGCACTCCTAGGAGCTACGTATAGAAGGGGAAATGAGCCCTGGAAAAAGCCAAGACAGAGCTGTTATTTCTTACACAATCTTTCTCACCAGCCCCCAGAGCCCTTAATATCTAATCAGGACCTATATCAAGGCTGGTGACAGGAGGCGGGGAGCATTTAGCGCTCCCTGCAGACTTCTCTTAGAGCAGCAACCCTCGCTCCATCTTTTCTCTTGTCCCCAAAGTTATCAGGAGGCTGTAAAGTTCCCCCCATAGTAACCTGACTACTAGATTCTTCCATTTGCAATAAAATATTGGTGTTGTGGATGCTGTAAATTCTCTGTAGCCAGCTCTGAACCTCAGCAAAGATGAGGATGTCTGAGAAAGCAAAGTCCTCAAGTGACTGTCGCCGATGTTCCTGTGCTCTGCTTCTAAGTAACTTTCTGAGTTATTTTTTAGCCACCTAATGTACCTTACTTGGCCTGAGCTGTCTCCTGAGGCAGTGAGACACCCCCCCCCCCCACTACCCAGTTTCTCAGCCCTAGGACGTATCATGGACAAAATTACCTTCTACTTGAGAAAGTCGTTTTTAGAATAAATCCAACCTGCTAAGAATGATCTCACATAGTTACAGAATTTCTAACCATCCAGTATGAAAATTCACCATTAATTTTTACTAGCAAGTTTTTTAGGTTGTTAGAACCTTAAGGATGGAACCTGTGTGTCCTTCATCTTTCTATCTTCAGTGATGGGCAAAGCATCTCATCCACAGGAGGCACTCCATGGAGATTTATTGTTGAAAGCATCCCTATTATTTAACTAACTGTTTGGGTACCAAGTCAAACAGGTGATGTCTAATTTTCTGAGCCTAAGGTCTTGAAGCTTGGGTGGCATTTTTACCCCTTTGTTCTACTCTCTACCCTCTTCAGTCAGCCTCAAGGGATGTCATCAGTATCATTGTTGCCTTGACGACATTGACAAGGGAGGTTGTTTTCAATGGCCTTTGGTAATATAAAAATACTTCACAGTTGTTTTGACAGGCAACAGACACTGAAGGCATCTCTGAAAAGAGGAGGAAAATTAGTGACTTTCCAGAACAAGGACTGAATTTTGTCCAGGGTGTTTACAAAACTCACTGACCTGCAGCAACATGCGCTGAGAGAATCACCTTGTTCATTGTTAACGACCAGATGTGCAAGCTGTGCACAGACACCACGCCGTCCACCGCTAAGATGAGCTCTCTCACATCGTTGTAGGTGAGGTTCTTTGGCACACCTGACAGAAGGAAAGAAGGCTGTTGTTATTCAACTGAGCATAGCTCATCAAGATGGCCAATTGGAACTGCAAAGTCCTCACCCAAATACCAACATGTGCCCTCTCCATTTATACTTTCTTATCCCAAATGATTCCAAATCAGATTCCATGATTGCAAAGGGTTTAGCATCAATCAGAAGTTCACAAAAAAATATTTGCAGATTTGAGTGTGTAATAATCAAAAGTGATCATCCTTCCCTTGTAGGTAGTGCATTATTAATCCAGTTGTGTTTTTCCTAATGATCCTTGCATATACTCTGGAAGCAAAATGAAATAATGTGGGATTTGGGATCAAACAATCCAGGATTAGCATTCTGGCTACAACTATTTTCAATTTACCCAAATCTTGGAACTTCTCTGATTTTTAGCATCATCTGTAAGAAAATAAAGGTGATAAGAACAATCTATTGTTCTAGAGTTCTTTGAGGAGCATATCAGAAAATAACTGCCCTTTGTAAACTGTGATGCTATAAAAATGTTAGCTACCAAACAGGTCACTTTAATGAACAGCGTTAATAGATGATTCTAACATTGTAATACCATTTTATTATTTGGTTTGTAAAAGTTGTATTAATTTAGGTGCAATAGTTAGGGTTAATGTTCAGGTCACAGTATGTAATAGTCTGACGATCATCCTTGTTTCTAAAGGAACAGTATGGAGTGGCCAGGAAGGTAGAGAGTCTGGCAGGCAGCCAATCAGCTCTTCTCTGGGGCTGAAGGAACTGGAGTGTCTCTAGCCTGCAGAAGAGCAGGCTAAGGAAATAGGATTGTCTTTTTCAAATATTGCAAAGAGTAGAGGGTACAAAACTGTGACGTTGCTTGCATTGGCTAGCTCTAAGAGGAGCCAGGGCACACCAGAAAAATGGCGGGTAGGTAAACACGGTCTCGCCTCCTCCCACAACCACATCAAAATTACAACAAAACTACAACACAACCATCATTCAGAACCACCTGACATGGAGCTGAATGGAAGTCCTACAACTACAACATTAAATAAGCAGCCACGCCCTGGCCGGTTTGGCTCAGCAGTTAGAGCATCCACCTGCGGTCCAGAGAGACCCGGGTTCAGTTCCTGCTCAGGGCACGTACCTCGGTTGCAGTTTGTCCCCGGCCCTGGTTGGGTCGTGTGGGTGGCAGCCACTCGATGTGTCCCTTTCACGTCGATGTTTCTCTCTCTCTCTCTCTCCCCCCTCTCTCCCTCCCACTCTATCTGAACAAAGAACGAAAAAACGTCCTCGGGTGAAGATTAAAAAAAAAAAGCAGTAGCCACACCGAGACTGGTAGGAGGGCGGAGGGGACGGGCTGGGCCCACACCCACGTGTGGGGATAAAAATCAGGAGGACACCTCGGCTGGGAAGGTCCTCCCTGAGGACTGAGGGGTCCCCGTCCCACACCAGGTGCCCCGCTCAGGGTTCCAGTGCCAGGAAGAGAATCCCCATCACTTCTGGCTGGAAAATCAGAGGGAACTGAGGCTCAGGGAGGCTGAGGCGGCTGGAGCCCCAGGCAGCTTCTTAAAGGGCCCGCGCACGGACTTACTCAGACCCGCTCCCTCTGAGCTTGGAGGGAAGGCAGCTTGAGGGGCACCAGAGAACAGGGAAGAACTGAGTTGTTTGGCCTCCGGACAAGGGCTGGAGGGGCTGCTTTATTCTGGACAAACATGCTGGTGAAAGCCTTGTTCCTTTGGTGACCCCCTTCCCAGGGCAGGCAGACAGCAGCCATATCTGGGACTCCAGCAACCTGGCTCTCCTGGTTGCCCCACCCTGGTGACTCCCTGAGGCCCCGCCCCACCCAACTTTCAGGCCCACCCAAGCTGTTTCCAAAGGCTTTACCATAGGATTGGCCTGTCTTGGATCCTGCTTCTGAGTTTCCTAAAATCTCTCAAACAAGCAGCATCTGGTACCTGATCCCACCAGTGCACCTGGCACCATCGGGCCAGTGGACACCCTGTGTCAACACAGCCCAGTGCACAGTAGTGGAGCTGTCAAGGTACTGGTTGCGGGAACCACAAATGGCCAGGAACCCAGCACCATCCCCCGCAACAGCAGCCCAATCAGTCAAGATGTACCCCCAGCAACAGAGACTGGGGAGCAGACATCCATCCCCAGGCAACAGAAGCACAGACGAGCAGCAGAGAACCATCTCCAAAAACTACAGCAAAGGCTGAGCAGGAGCTGAGCCCCACAGGGCAGCGGCACTCCCTGGCCGCCAGCAGTGGGACCAGGGGCTTCATAGGGCCCAGTGCAAAACTGCTGCCCACAAGAGTGGTGGGAAGCCGGTGATCCATAGGGGCCTGTGTGACCCAGTGGCCCACAAGAGTGGTGGGAAGTTAAGGATCCAGAAGAACCTGTGAGACCCAGCAGCTCAAAAGAGCGGTGGAAAGCCGGGGATCCAGAGGGGCCTGTGCAATCCAGCAACCCACAAGAGCGGGGTGGAGCCGGGGCTCCGGATGAACATGTTTGACCAGTGGCCCACAAGAGCGGTACTGAGCCGGGGCTCGAGAGGGGCCAGTCTCAGTGAGCCCCATACCTCTTGTTAAGTGGCCCCGGGCCTGGCACTAGAAGCAGCCAGCCTTAGTTCACAACTTGGTTTTCCTGGACACCTCCAAGCCCAGTACAAGAAGCAGCCATCTGCAGTTCACTTTCTAGCTTATGCCGGGTGGCCCTGGATAGAGCACAGACAGTGGCTGACCTTGCCCCAGACCTTGCACCTGGTGGACAGCTTCAGACCACATCAAAACACCACCACCCAACCACCTCCACAAGTGACACACTCAGTGAGTGGACTCAGTGGGTACCAGAGCCCTGCCGAAGTAAGTCTTGCTCTGTGTGGTGGGCCCCTACACAGCTGATCCTCCAAGGTAGTGGCTAGTGGGCACAGCCAGTCCTTGCAGCTGATCAGCCTGAGTAAACCCCTCCCACTGATGCACCAACAGCAATCAAGACTCAATTACAAGAGAAGGGTGTATAGTCCACACTAGGGGTGCACCACAAGGGCCCAGCTGGGGTTATCCGGAAGACCGTGCCACTGGATCCTACAGGACACCTGCAACAGTAGGCCACCTTATGAAGCCTACGAGGCATAGCAACTCTGCCAAATACATAGAAACAATCACAGGGAAGCAGCCAAAATAAGGAGACAAAGAAACATGTCCTAAATGAAAGAAAAAAACAAATCTCCAGGAAAAGAACTAAACAAAATGGAGATAAGCAATCTAACAGATGCAGAGTTCAGAACACAGGTTATAAGGTTGCTCAGGGAACTTGGTGAGACATCCAAGGGACTTAGTGAGACCTTCAAGGGTCTTAAGGAGACCTCTGAGGAACTTAGTGAAAACATCAACAACATAAAGAAGGACCAGTCAGAAATGAAGGATGTACTAACTGAAATAAAGAATAATTTATAGGGAATCAATAGTAGAGTACGTAAAGCCAAGAAGCAAACCATCAATTTAGAATATAATGAAGCAGAAAACATCCAACCAGAACAGCAAAAAAAGAATCCAAAAAAAATGAGCATAGTGTAAGGAACCTCTGGGACAACTTCAATTGTGCCAACATTCGCATCATAGGGAAGGATAAGACAGAGGGCAGGAAATTGAAAAACTATTTGAAACAATAATGACAGAAAAATTCCCTAACTTGGTGAAGGAAACAGACATACAGGAAGCACAGAGAGTCCCAAACAAGTTGAACCCAAAGAGGTCCACACCCAGTCACATCATCATCAAAATGCCAAAGGTTAAATACAAAGAAAGAATCTTAAAAGCAGTGAGAGAAAAGCAGTCTGTTACCTACAAAGGAGCTCCCATAAGACTGTCAGCTGATTTCTCAAAAGAAACTTTGCAGGCCAGAAAGGAGTGACAAGAGATATTCTAGGTGATAAAAAGCAATGGCCTACAACCAAGATTACTCTATCCTACAAAACTATCATTTAGAATCAGTGGACATATCAAGAGTTTCCCAGACAAGAAAAAGTCAAAGAAATTCATCACCACCAAGCCAGTATTATATGAAATGTTGAAGGGTCTTCTTGAAGGCGAAGAAGAACAAAAATATGAACAATAAAATGGCAATTAATACATATCTATCAACAATTGAATCTACAAACAAAATGAGCAAACAGAACAGAAACAAACTCTTAGATACAGAGAACTTTTTGTTGCTTGCCAGATGGGTGGTGGCTGGGGGGAACGGGTGAAAAAATGAAGGAATTAAGAAGTACAAATTGGTTGTTAGACTGATGGACCTCAAAGGGAAAGGGGAGGGAGGGTGGGATGAGATAAACCAAAGAACTTCTATGCATGTATGGACACCAATGGACACCAACAATAGTGTGGGGGAGGTAAGGGGGGGGGGGAATGGGAAGGAGGGGGTCAAGGGGGAAAAATGGGAGAAACATCTATAATACATTCAGCAATAAAGATAAGTTTAAAAAATAAATTAATGGAATATAAAATGATGTAAAAAAAATAAAAGAGGAGCCAATGTTTGGTTAGAATTGTGAAAGATATCAATTTGATAAAAAAATGATACTTTTTAAAAAAAATCAACTCAACCAGCACAACAATGGGAAAAGTCATTGGATGAATGGGTAAATCCTTATCAACTGAAGATGATCCCAAAAGAATGCTGTAGAAGAGATTTTTAAGGCTGACCACCTTCCAGCCTCTACTTCAATCTATATACCTGGTGTGTTTGTTAGAAATAAACATGTCTCAGTTGCATTCTCGACCTCCTGAAGGAAATTTCTGTGGATGAGGCTCTGAAATCTACATGCTTCCAGAGTGGTTCTCAACCCTGGGTGCACATTAGTATCACTGAAGGAGATTTTAAAAATCCTGATGACCAGGTTACACCCAAGATCAATTAAATCAGACTCTCTGGGGATAAGATCCTGCACCAGTATTTTCATAGTTCATTTGCTGACTCGCACACACCGGCAAGGCGAGAACCATTGCACTACTATTTATAAGCCACTGGACAGTGCTTCTACTTTGTAGCGGTTCTTCAGCTTGGCTACCTATTAGAAAACATCAAAGCCAGTCCCCACCCCAGTCAAAAATATGAGAATCTCTGGGTATAGGACCTGGACATAAGTATTTTTTAAAAAGTTTCCAAGATTGTCATGAGCCGCTAGTCAAGAAGCATTTCAGGGCATCCTTAACCCTCCTTTTTCAGGATTTAAGAACCTTGTTCATGATGATTTTTCTCCTTAGGGCTAACTTACAATTCTCTACAGCTTGAATTTAGTTGACTCCCACTTCATATTGTTTCATGGATGTAGAAAGAACTGGTTGACATGTAATTTTACTGAATGAGCTCAGGGCAGCAGAAACAAAGTAAAGGGGTTTTGTCTCAGATTAGCAACAAAATGTGTATGGAGTCATGGATAAAGTTGTTATATGTTGTAATAATAATAACAATATTGCTTTATTGAAAACCTACAACAGCTCAAGGTTTGTGCCAACCACTTTATTTATAGTGATTATCTTATTTTAATATTTACAAAAACGTTAAGAGCTAGTTATCAATGTTACAATTCCTATTTAACTGGCGGAGAGGAAATTTGGAGACAGGGAGGTTAAAAAGCATTGCTAAATCCACATAGATGAATGGGGTGTGGGAGCCTGAAGTTCATGCTCTGAGAGTGTGGTGTAAAGCTAGACTCTAGGTATGGCAACCCAAAGTTCACTGACATGCCTAGTGCGTCATCTCTGGGGAGTTTCATTTGGCTCTTGGAAGACCTGCTATCATCGTTCATCTAGGACCCTTAAGATGAAGTCATGATCCCATTACTTTTTGTCTCTATTGCCTCATTTATCTCTTTACATTTATGAACAGCAGAAGTCCACTATTATTTATTTTACTCTATGAAATAATGTCGGCAAGCATGAGGCCATGCTCCCACTGACCTCAATGCTCCATCACATTCTAGAAACCATTTTTCCCCCTAGGGAGAGCCTGCAAATATACTAATGCATCCAGAAAAATGCTCAAATTAGTGGTTAAAAAATAATTTCCCAGATTAATAAATATATGAAAAAATCACTCAATGTCACTCAATTAAAGAACTGTATTTGGCCCAGCTGGTATGACTCCATGGTTGGGCATCGACCCATGCACCAAGAGGTCACCACTTTGATTCTCAGTCCAGGCACAGGCCCAGGTTGTGGGCCCGATCCCCAGTGAGGGGCATGCAGGAGGCGGCCAATCAATGTTCTCAATCATCAATGTTTCTATATCTTTCCCTTTTCCCTCCTCTCTTTCTGAAATCAATAAAGAAAAAAATTTTTTTTAAAGAACTGCATTTAATAAAATAAAATATTTCACCTGTAGATTAGAAAAGAATCATCAGTTTGGTAATACCCAATGGTGGTGAACATGTGAGGAGATGGGCACTGTCTTATTCTGTTGGCCAAAAAAAATTAATATAGCCCCGGCCAGTTTGGCTCAACGGTTAGAGCGCCGGCCTGCGGTCCGGAGAGACCCGGGTTCGGTTCCCGCTAAGGGCACGTACTTCGGTTGCAGTTTGTCCCCGGCCCTGGTTGGTTGTGCGGGTGGCAGCCACTCGATGTGTCCCTTCACATCGATGTTTCTCTCTCTCTCCCTTCCTCTCTCTCCCTCCCACTCTATCTGTATAAAAAATGGAAAAATATCCTCGGGTGAGGATAAAAAAAAAAAATTTAATATAGTATCTTTGGTAGAAATGGCAATATCTGTCAAACCTTAAAATGCACAGAACTTCTGAAACAGAAATAACATTTCTAGGAATTATTCCACAGGTATATAAATGCTAAAATTATATATGTATAAGAATGTTAATTAAACCATTGTTTGTAATGCCCATCAATAAGCAAGTACATGGCTACAGTGGAATACTTTATAGCTATGTAAAAGAATGGGGAGTTTCTATGTATATACTAATAGGAAAAGATCTCCCAGTGAACAAATCAAGTGCAGAACAGAATAAGTATCAATCCAGAATCCCATTTGTTTAAAAAATACATACATACACACACACTATACATATATTATATATATGGTCTACATTATATATATATATACACACACACATATTTATACACATATATTTATATGTGTGTGTGTGTATATCTATACATAGTTATAGTTATCTTTTGAAAGATATATGTCAACTTATTAGTAGGTGTTACCCTGATAAATGGGACTGAAAATCCAAAGGTGAAAAATGGAGAGACTTAAAATTTATTTTCTGCCTTTGCATATTATTTTAAATTTTTACCAAACATAAGTATTATTTTGTGCCAACCTAATTTGAAAACCTCATTTATGAATTGAGCATCTATCAGATAGGAATCGCCTGACAATTGTAATAATTAAATGAAAGAAGAACAGTAATCAGCAGAGAGCATCACACTGAGAGAAGGGAAGTGGAATGCAGTCATCTCAGATTGTGCGCCAACCTGTCCTTTATCCCTCCAAGTCACCAGTGCCATGGCAACAATAGCGGCAGCTCAGCAGTTGGCTCTCGGGGAAGGAAATGGATGTTTTTGTGACTTGACAAACCAAATATTGTCATCTCCACGGGGAGGAAGTTCACGTGTCACTCGGTGACGTTTGACTCCATTTTGTTTCACTATTGTCAACAGTTACAGTGCCCATTGAGGACAAGGACCCTTAAACACAGCCTTGGCAGTGAACACTGAGCCAACCTGAGCTGTTTCGAAGGCAACTGCTCTCTGAAGCTGTGTATCCCTTCTATCAAAATGTGCTAGACAAAAAAATGAAAAGGTCAGCTGATATCCAGATATTTTTGACCATCTGAATGTTTGATATGATGCAAAGCTCTGGCTCTGCTAGAACTCTCTGGGTGCCGTCCCCAGCTCCCTCCTGCAGGAATCTCTTAAGTGGTATGAAAAGACTAGTCCAGCTGTTCTCCAAGTGTGGTTCCCAGAGCAGCAGCAGCTGCATCTTGTTAGAAATTCAAATTCTTAGGGCCCACTCGGGACCTACTGTCTCCGGAACAGTGGCAGTGGGCCCAGCAATATGTGTTGTCACAAACCCTCCAAGTGATTCTGACGCCACTAAAGTTGGAGAACTGGTGGCCGAGTCTAGCAAGGGTTTTGGGCAAGCCCTTCAGAATAGTTGCAATGCTGCCCGAAGGACAGATCTACATGCCATCTTTCCTGGGTCTTATCCACACATTTAGGGATAAACTGATATCTTTACAATAACTTCCTCCATGTTTACCCTTAGTGTTTGCACATACTGTCTCTACACTGAGCCATATCATTTAATGGTGGCTGGAGGAAAAATAGAAGCCGAAACTTGTTTCTTGTTCCCATACGAAAGAAAATCATCATATTTGTTTTCCCCCAAATTCCTTATCAGTTTAAATGTTCTTCGTGAGGCATATTAGCAACGTGTGTGCGTTGAGGCGGTGCCCTGCTGTAGACACAGGGAAGAGAAACCATGGATTCCAGGACTAGTGATAAAATCACTCCTACCTTCCATGAGTAAGACAGAGAAGTCCTTTAAGATGGTGACGGTGCTGGCCAAAACCAGGACGGAAAAGACAAATGTGCAGATGGGGTCGGCCATTTTATAGTCTGGCTGGAAAATACAGGGGCTTTGGTTACTGAATGTGTCCCTCCTTTGCAGAAAGTCTGATGAATACATCACATAAACGTCCCATTTCCTTCCCTCTCCCTCACCCCTCCACCAGCCTCCCCGAACACTTGACATCCAACTCAGAGACAACGCTTCCTGAAGACTCCATCCTTCTTTCCTGCTTTCGACTGCCAGAGACAGGAGAGAGACTGCAGGATGCGCTCCCCAGCACTGAAGGAGTAAGGGAAAGATACCCTGGAGTGTCGTCTCGAGAGGCCTGAGTGAACTGCCCTGAAATTACTAGACATGCAGAGGGTGAGATGAACTGATTTGCACGATGCTCAGTGACTCTTCAGCCTTCATTACGATGAGAAGACAGACTGTTGTCTGCTCGGCTGACCAAGGTGCAGCTGGAGTTCGGTCTTGGCAGACTGGGTTAATTTCTCTCCCCCCGCCCAAGTAGGGCACCTCCTCGAGGCAGGCATCTTGGATACAGTCCTAAGAGTACGAGCTGAGGCCTCATTTCTGGCCTCCCTCACCACTGGAGCCCTTAGCCTCCGGGTGAAACACCTGCTGTTCTGCCTCTGCTGCAGCTTCGTGCCGCAGAGAAGTCTACCTAATTATCGCTGAGAAACTCGGCATCAGCCTAACCTTTACAAGTGTACTCTCCAACCCGACTAAGCCCTTCAACGCAGAACTATTTTGCCTTAGACTTAGAGCGTTTGGTGAGCATTTGCTCACCTGAGTTCAGATAGGTTTTTGTAATTTGTACTTACATGTTTTTATATTTTAGTAAAACTAATGTAGAATCCCTGCTAATTGGTCAATCGTGATGCGAACAGAGACAAATGTTTTTCTGCTTCATTACCCCCACCTCCACTCCAACCCCCCCATTCATTCTCAGTACTACCAAATAGACATCTGCAGTGAATATTTCCTTGGGGTCAAAGGCCCACCCAGATCCATTTCCACTTTCTATCAATACCCTGACTTTGGGGAGAGAAGGTGCCTCTCCCCCAGTGTGAGTGATATTGGTGGGACAGTCATTCGGGTATTCCACCCTCCCTGAGCCAAGTAGTACACGCAGCAGGTAGAAGACCCAAGCTAGGTCAATTAGAGTCCCTTTCCCAGAAATATGAATCTTCAGCATAATGACAAGAAACAAACAAACAAAAAAAGGTTGAGTCATATTCATTTCAGCTTGGTGTCTGGGACAGAAGTTGGCTAATGTCTGAAATTAGATATCAAAATTCAAAATTCACCCTTATCTGTACCTTGATCTGGGAGTAAATCCAATGAATTTCAGCAATAAGTTCTTTTTTGCTTAAGTGAGCTAGAGATTTTTTTTCTGTTGCTTACAACCCAAGATTCCCTAAGGTATGCATAATTCTATTGCGGTCCCTGCTGACCCCATGACAAAAGGAACTTCTTTCTTAAAAGACTGGAAGCCCTACAATTAAAGACACAGCTCTTAGGAATTTGGGAAGTCTAAGGTTTCAGGCTTTGAATGTTTGTTTGTTTGTTTGTTTGTTTAAAATTTGAACAATAGTTTGCTTAAGCAAACAAAGTCTCTCCACCCTTGTTTAAGTTAATTTTGGAGGACCCACTTCTATACTACTTGATCTATAAAATTATTATGACAGTGAGTTAAATCAAACACTCACCTTAAAGTAGATAACCAGTGCACTGGTTAACACACTGATGCTCTGAAACAGATCGCCGAGAGCGTGCACAAAAGCCGCTCTGACACTGGCATTCATTTGCGCATCCTTGTGATTGTGGCCAGAGTGTCCTTGGTGCAAAATCACACTTAGTCTGAAAGAGAAAACAATGTTCTCAGCCCACACGCTATTAACCCTTAAAAATCTATGTGGTGTAATGGAAGAGTTAACAGTAGCACATATGATCCAAACTGACAGGGAATTGAAATGTTAATGTTTAAAGATATACTCTTTCTGACCAGTTTTGAACACAAGTGGGTCATAGCATTTTAAATGTTTCACACGAGGGCAGGCAACAAAGACTCGCCTCGGTTTTCCCTTCCATCTACCTAATGCTACTGTTTCACGTGAAAACTGGAAAACATCACTTCTTTGGTGAAAGCCAAGTATTTGACAATGAGGAGGGGAAATATCATTTATTGAAGGTCTACTGAACGTCGGGCACTGAGCTAGGGTTAACGCTGAGCGTTGGTGGGAGCTTAATTAAATGTACTGGTTTCAAGTGCAAACAGCAGCAGAAAGGGATAAAACAAAACAAGCAGTGAACTTCATCAGGGTGGGTGTTTTTTAAATCTGTCATTTTACTTACTTTTATTCATTTACAAGAGAATTGGAAATTTGAATAATTTTCTAATGGCTGATGATAACCATACTGTGCTTCAGTATACGTTGCTATTTATCCAGAGACTAAAATATACTGAAATATTATAAATGTGTATATATATATAATATTTCAAAATATAACATTTCACATTCAAATCAAAGAGTTAAACAGGTTAAATAGTAGCCATGATAATTTATGTACCTGATTCGATTTATCTACAGTTTCAAGAGGTATTAGACCAAAGGTAAAATGAGAACTTTTTATTGATGGCCCACAAGGAGTATTTTCTGATAGCCAACAAGGAGAACTTTTTCTGTGTATTTTGTAACAAAGGTCTAAAAATTTATTGCTTAATACCATGTATCCTTATTTTCAGAAAAGTGTCTGTCAAATCTCAGGCCATCATCACAAAGTGAACTGATTGCTATCCACCAGAATTTGCTTATTACATAATGTACACTTTTAGATTGTCAGAGTTTGGGCAGAAATATACCCTCAATTAGGAGTTACCATTTAAGGGTCTCCAGATAGTTAATAGACTCTCTTTCTAGGTCTGCCATGTGTGCTCATCACATTGTCATTCATTCTTTCACTCATTTTATTAAAAAATAAAATAAAATAAAACTACTTAGGGACCCAATGTCAGGCATTGTTGAATGTTTGGGGCATAAAAGGGAGTAAAAACAGACATAGCCCCTCCCATTGTGGCTATGAGTACGAAGGAGATGTAGAGAATTAGAAAAGACACATACACACACACACACACACACACACACCCCCATGGAAAATTGTAATGATAAGTCTACTAAGAGCTGTACCAACAGAGGATCAAACAAAGAAGTCTGATTTAGTTAGCAGGACAAAGCAATTGAGTTGGATTTGAAAGGTTAGAGTTAAATAAGCTAGGAGGGGAGGAACTGTTCAGGCAGAGAAAATTTAGTATGCAATAGCCTTAAGGCTCTATCAATAATTGTCATCCTCGAATCCCTTTGCAACCTGTATTACAACTTTCTGTCCTGATTTTGAGTCTCCAAGGAATAGATTTATTCCCAAATTGCGGCTCTGATATCTCTATTCAGACAGCATAGCCTGTAGCTGCACTTGAACCCTGTAACCCCAGTTCTGGGAGAAAACATTCTAGTCATTCAGTATCCTCATCCAGTAATAGCTACCTGCTCACACAGGGAAGTCGATGCTTTTCAATTCCCTTGACTTTCTGAGCACCTGAAAATTAAAGTCAAAGTTCAGAAGCAGCTGAACTAAAAAGAAAATGTGGATGGTATCTGTTTAGAAAGTTGGACTCAATCATCGAGGTCCAGATTCATGTGGTAGTTAGCTAGGGGTACCCTTCATCTTTGTGTAGCATCAACACAACCTATGTGACATGTGACTTGGGAAATTATTAATATTTTTATTCTTCCTGCTACCTTGTGAACATATTGTTCTCCTGTGCAAAGATGATGTTATTGACCCCCAGTCAGCAAGGACATGTGTCTTGTCTCCTAGTGGTGATAGATTTGCATTGATCTCTCAATGCCAATGTGAAATCACCATTCTTCTATCATTGTCATCTTCACTTTCATGTATAAAGCTATTGCAATGTGTCACATTATATTGTAAGATAGACAAATAAGTGATGCATAGTGTATGAGTTTCTTATTGCTGCTATAACAAATTACCACAAGCCTTTCCAGCTTAGAGCAACATAAATTTATTCTTACAGTTCTGGAGGTTAGAAATCTAAAATGGATCATGCTCCTTCTGGAGTTGCTAAGGGAGAATATATTGTCTAACCTTTTCCAGCTTCTAGATGTCACTTACATTCTTTGACTCCAGGTCTCTTTCTTTATCTTCAAAGCCAGCAATGCAGCATCTTCTCTTCTCTCTGACTTTATACTTCCCTTTTGTAAGGACCTTTGGTTTGCATTGGGCCTATCTGAATAATCCAGGATAATCTCCCCATGTCAAGATCTAGCCTTAACTTAATCACATTTTTAAAATTACTTTTACCATGTAAGTTAACACATTTAGAAGTGCTACGCATTAGAATATGGAAATTTTGAGGGGCCATTATTTTCTCTACCACAGATGACAGACAGAGAGATAGATGCAGTTTTAAATAGGATTGTCCAGAATCAGAATGTCAAATGGGAAGGGACAAATTGACCAAAAGGATCAAAGCCCTGGCCTTAAAACCACATTGTCATAAGCAACCAAGTAGCTCATTCAGAGAAGAGCGGACAAATATGACAATGATCACATATCCCATAAGAATGATGTAAGACTACCTGGTTAAGACATGAAAAAACAGGTAGAAAATAAAAAGAGGGTTTAGCTAACATAGCTTAAGGAAGAATGTTCGTGTATTCAAAATACTGCAAAGAAACTGTAGAGTTCTTTTGAGAGAAATAAATTCTGTTATTAGTTCTGTTAAAATATATGAAACTAATGACCATTTTATGGTGATGTTGCAAAAGAGAATTCAAAAGTAGAAAGGGGGCTGAAGTAAATAAAATTTAAGATCCCTTCCCGCCCAGCTCCCTGGAAACCCATATGTTCCTGTGATAAAAACGCACGAGGAGTAAGTCCCATGGGGAACTATCAATATGCATGAGAGAGCAGAATGGCTAGGACTCCATTCTGACTGTGGTGGGTCTAGATTCCTATTCTGGCTCCACACCAATTCATTGGCAATTCATTTTACTGCACTGAGCTTCAGTTTTCTGATCTGTGAAGTAAGGGTGTTGTGAACATTGAGCTTGATGATGTAGTTCAAAAGATCTTAGCACAGTCCCTGACACATAGAAAGCATTCAAGATGGTAGCTATTAGAAGCCAATATTAAAATACTGGAACCAGCACAACCAACCTTAGCTTTAGTCGTAGAGCCATTTGAACACTCTGTCAGGTCTCTGCCATCCTCACAAGTGGAGGAAGTAAACAAAAACAAAAAGTAACAATAAGAACAAACACATCTGTGTCCATACAGGGTTACAGACAAGCTTCATGAGCAGTGTGCCGGGTGACTTACACAATGTTGGCTGCCACCGCACAGCCTGAAACGATGATCATCACAGTGGCCTGGATCTGGTAATCTGGGTAGAGCAGGCGCTCACACGCCAGGTACACCAACACACCGGTCACTGCCCAGACACCTAGGATGGACAGCAGGGCACCAAGGATCTCTAAGGACGCAAGCACACAGATGTCCATACACAAAGAATGTATGAATCATTTTCACATCCCCAAGAGTCATAAGACATTACTGAAGCTTCAAACTAGTTCGCTCTGATTCACAAAGCAAAACTTTGGGAGGATTTTAGCCCTAAGACAAGGTACTTTTATGTTGCATTTATAGTGACATGAGTTCGTTGGGCTCCAGGTTACTCAGTAATTCGCAGCAAAATTTTAAAGCATATTAATTGTTGCCTAGCCTCGCTGTTTTCTCTGGGGATTTTGATTTAAGCAGGTGCTAAAATGATTGGAACTTATTAGGAGATGAAATAATGACACACAAAGAGCAAAAGGTACTTAGAAACTCTTAATTTGGCCATAAAACGTTGATGATGTGCCAGGAACCAGTGTCTTCTGTGGATTAAAACAGTAAAAAGGGAAAGCTTCAGGGGGTACTTGGAAAATGAGTTTCATTTGCTAACCCAACATACCGTAAACACAGAGGTGAGCTCAGAGGTATACCAGCACTCTAAATGTACTTTAACAGCAACAGTAAGGAAAAGAAACATCAGAATGCAACATTTACATTAACATTTAAAGATGAGATGTTGTTCAATCTGCCCACTGAGTAAAGCATGGCTCTCTTAGGACTTCCCTAACACCTCACCGTGATCTGTAACTCAGCCTTGGACATGGATTCTGAAAGCCCTACAAGGGTCTGGAAACATGCAATCAGTCAGGGGTCAAGCACATTCCATAATTCTGACCACCCCCCACCCCCCAAAGCAGGGCACTGGAACGTGTTGTTTTCTCATTATGGGAAGAGTGTTTGCCAGACTTGAGTCACTTGCATCCAGTGGTCATGATTTTCACCACAGCCACCTGTCTCACTGGACACGTAATGTTCTGTTTAAAGAAATCCACTTTTTATACTTAGCGTCTTTCTGAACAGAGTCACCCATGAAATTACGTGTAATGTTCTGGTTGGTTTCCACCTCTCTGTTGGTAGTGGTACTGCCTGATACAGTAGCCATCCGCCACCTGTGGCTGTTCAAATGGAATTAAGTAAAACGAGGAATCCGGTTCTTCAGTAGCACCAGCCAAGTGTTGGAGTGGTCTGTGGCCACACCATACACTATGTTACAGAACATCTCCCTGGAAGCAGAGTCCTGTTGGGCAGCACTGGTCTTCTGGCCTGTCAGTCGATGCTCATGGACATCCACGCCAGGACGAGAAAGTAGGAGCAGGATTTTAATTCTGAGTCCTTCCCGTGCTTACACAACAGCTCTGCCCAACAGTATCAGAAAGCGTAAAAGTTCAAGTGATGTATACAGACGGAAGGTGAGTGCTCCGCTGAAAGTACACCTATTCCGAGCATTGCTCTGCTGGGGGACCGGGAAAGCGCCTTCAGATCACATTGTCACATTGTCACTAACTCTTTCTGTTGGTGGTTACTGCCTCTCTCCCTCTCACTGAACGTTAAAGGAACACAATTCAAAACACCCGTGATGATAAATTGTGTAGTATGGAACAGAGCTTTGTAAGCTTGCAAAACTGCTGTCCACCGATACCCGTCCGCAGCTGTGGTCTGTGTCTGGCAACTTTCAGCAAAGCTCAGCCACATCAGCGTGGCCACCGCCCCTGCCCGCCCTCAGCTCTCCTTCACCTCCTGTTCCTGACGCCCTGTGAGAAGTTCTTCCATCTCTGCAGCTTGTCTGTGCGGCCTGTGCCTTAGTTCGCCAGATGCTGGGAGCCTCACCCCACCTTCTCTCCCAGATGCAGAGTGACTGAATGAGTGCTAGGCTGTCACCGCACACTGAGACCCTAGAGCCGGGGTGGCTGCCCGAGTGATGCCTGTGTTCCTGATGTCCTGGCGCCCCCCTGGAGCAGGGGTAGCTTGAGTACTCTGGATTTCAGCTGAATTACCATTGAGAACACACGTTCCCACCTCCATGTCTATTCTGTTCTGTGCACTGGAGATGGGCCTCTGAGTGATTTCCGAACAAGGCTTTGCTTTGTCCCTTGGTTCGACTCTGAGACACGACCCGCCAACAACGCTCCCCCCATGAACTGTACCTGCTCGGTGCCATCCGAATGTGAGCCGCTTGGAGGGAGGCTTTGAGGACAGCCACAAGGAGAAGAGGCTGAGCAGAAAACTGGTCAGGTCAATGAAGAGGTGGGTAGCGTCTGTGGCGACAGCAAGACTCCCAGCAATGTGGCCGCCTAAGGGGTACACAATGTCGCACGGGGTTAGGGCCCCAGAGTACATCTAGAGGCATATGCATACTAACCAGAGATGGGAAATGTCACAGACTCCCAGAGAGATGAACATCTATTCAATCCACCTCTTCTTCCCAGTTTGACAAGTCAACAAACTAAGACCCAGAGAGTGGGTAGGATTTGAACACGTAGAAATGAATTTCAAGGGCAAGGCTATTCCTAGGGGGTAAAAGGTACAGAGATTGGAACGTGGGGGGCATTCTTGGAGACCATCCCTGTCATAAGGGCATAAGGCTTCAGAAGGGGCAATGCCAAAAGGTGAAGCTGGAGAAGAATAGGCCAGATTCGAGAGGGTCTCACATTCCAAACCAAGGACCTGGGCTTTTGACTGTAAACAGATGATACAATGGCCCACAGATGTGTGTGTGTGTGTGTGTGTGTGTGTGTGTGTGTGTTTGCCTTGTTATTTTACCACAGTCCTTACCACTTATTTCTTCTCTACTAATTTGTATCAGCCACCTGAGTTCGAGACCCCTGTTATGAAAAGTGGGGGACGGGAAGGAGGGAGGGTAGGCACCTTCCAGCGGGATTTCCAAGAGCAACAATCCAGTAAAGCACAGGAAGAGAACCCAAGCGATGGAGCCCTGCCTGGCTTTTCTTTCCATCTCTTGTTCTTTTTTGAGAAAAGACCTCCAGCCTCGATCACTGAAGCCAAAGGGAAACCTTGTCTCTTCCTTCCGGGACAGGGCTTGTTGTCTGAGGGCAATAACCTTTATTACTCTCCCTGCGTCTTCCCAGCCCTGGAAAGAGCTTTTGCTGACGGATAGTCCTCCCAGCAGCTGTTTATTTCCTTCTGTGCTAAAAAGCACCGGAGGCTGTCAGTCGTCAGCCCCTCCATCATCAGGCTCACCTTGTCGGCTAATGATTTTTAAAAATTACATAGAGGGCTCATAATTGCAATAATCCCCACAGACTGCTGGGCCTCGCTGCGGTTAATAACGGGTTTGTCAGAGTTTAATGGTCTGAAGGAAAGTCGTCTTCAAGCTTGTTACTCAGCTGTCAGTGCAAAAATTGCAATGATTCATTAGCCCAAAAGTAACATTTTGCTAACAAATCAGCTGTCCTTCCAATTATCCCCTAATGCTGCTCTATCTGCCAAACTGGGGCCTGATAATGAAGCTGTGTTAATAATGCATTATTTCTTGCCCAGAAAATGACTGCACGCAGATAAGCAACATGCCGCCATCTCCACGATGAGTGATGATGGTGACTCTTGGTGCTGAACAGAAATCGTAGCCTAAGTCAAGGAAATGAGGTCTTACGGGGTTTCTTCGGGCTCAGCTGAGTCAGGAGGAAGAACGGCCTGGCTTTGAAAGATGCACATTAATATGGAGGCCTGGGACCCAAGAACCATTTTGCTACCATCAGAACTACTTGGAAGAACCATCCAGAAAATTGGGGGCAATCATGCTGAGTGACTGTGGAGCAAACTGTTTGCAAGAGGTAGTTCGCAAATGAACTTGCATTTGCTTCTGGATGCATGGGGCACTACTGACAGTTAATTCAATCATGCAGCCAGTATTTCCTGAGCCTTACTGTGCACAGTACAGGGACAGGAGATACAAAGATAAGTTAAAAAGTCCCAGGCCCTCTCTTTGGTGACCTCACGCTCACTGTTAGACAGTATGATGAATAGGCGGGGAGACTAGAAACCACTCTCACTGGAGCATCGTGGACCTGGGCACAGGAGAGAGCGGGAAGAACTAGCTGGAAGAGAAGGGTTTCTCCGGAAGAGGGAGAGCAGGGAGGAGAAGAGAGACATGAAAGAGCTTGGAACCTTTGTCGAAAAAGCAAGAGGTGTGGAATGTTGGAGGAATCCCGGGAAGTCAGACTGGGAAGGTGGGTTGGGGTATATATGTCATGCGACAGAATGGGAATGGTCTCCTATGGGATAAGGGGAGCTACTTACGATTTTGAGGCGAGGTTGTGACATGTTCAAATCTGAATTTAAGAGGGAGATCTTGGCCAGGAATATGGAGACTGACTTGGAGGGAGAAGAAGCTAGCAGTTAGCACACAGTGGTATCTTTGTATCTCCTATCCCTGTACCGTGCACAGTAAGGCTCAGTAAATACTGGCTGCATGATTGAATTAACTGTCAGTAGTGCGCCATGCATCCAGAAGCAAATGCAAGTTCATTTGCAAACTACCTCTTGCAATGGAATGATGGGAGAGGCATGAAGTAAGGCGGCGGCACTCGTATTTCTGGGTCACTTGGCAAGATGTCGAGAGCAATGTACTTAGGACAAGCTGGGAGAGGCCCTAAGACTACATTCTGGAAACAGACCCTACTTAGGGCCTGTGGGGTGGAGATGACAGTAGGTCAGGGGAGCCCTTGGGCCTGGCTCTCAGATTCAGAGAGATGATGTGACGCACACGTGACCTTCTCTGTGGAGAACACAGACATATGGACAGGATTGAAAGCAGTAAATGTTTCTCTGACACCATTTGACTACACCTCGTAGGATGGTGAGCCATATCTTTAAAATTCTTTAATTGTCACCCTGGCCGGTTTGGCTCAGCGGTTAGAGCGTTGGCCTGTGGTCCCGAGAGACCCGGGTTCGGTTCCCGCTAAGGGCACGTACGGGTGGCAGCCACTTGATGTGTCCCTTTCACGTCTATGTTTCTCTCTTCCTCTCCCCGCCCCCCACCCCAACAAAAAATGTCCTCAGGTGAGGATTAAAAAAAATTTTTTTAATAAATTAAAATTCTTTAATTGTTTTATGAATAGCATTGTTATACTATGTAGCTTGTTATGTCAAAAACTCAAGGAGTTCTTATGTAACAAGTATTCAAAACATACCAGTTTGCATAGGCCTGTTTTGACATTTCTTAAATTTTTAATACCAGGAACATCAAGAAATAGAAGTGGTGTGAGCTGCTGAGACACCCTGGCTCTGGTAGAAAGTAAGTTCCCTTATTCGTGAAGCTTATGGTTATCACACCATCCAGCTGTATCATTTTCTTACTAAGAGAGATTTTTTGTTTTTTACTCCGAGAGACCTGCCTTCTTCCCAGCCTGCTTCCAGCTCTGTCTGTACTTCTCTCTAGCAACAACGGTGCTTCCTGCACCTTCCTTTAACCCTAGGACCTCAGGGAGCCTTTCCTGACCATTCTCAGTGCTTCCGTAATGGCCATAGCGCAGCATATTCTTGTGAGGTCTCTGTGTCTGTATGTCTGTCTTATCAACTTGGGATACATATTTACCTCTGCAAAGTAACTCATCTCTTGATGGCCTTTCTACAGTTAGGAATTTTCACAAGCAATCAGAAAGAGTCCCAATTCGACCGGTTCAAAGGCCCACCCACAGTGGACACACCTTCTTCAATTCTTCCCTCCCATCCGCTCTGCAAGCTGAGGCCAGTTCTGTCTCCAAACACAGATCTATGACCTGGTTCTCCTCTGTTCAAAATGTCAACTACTCCTCAAGGCCTGCAGAAGGGGTCCAGATTCCCCAGCCAGCCCTCAGGGTCCTTCTTGACGCCCCGCCCCCACCCCAACTACCATTCTAGTTTTATTCTCCACTAACCATGTTTTACCCTACACCACTGCCTTAGATAGGTCCTCTCATTTGTAAGTCATAACTGCTTAGCTCAAACAGTAACAGCAACAAAATGATAATTCATTGACTCAGTGACTGAGAACAGATCTGGGTGGGATGGGATTGGGTATAGCCTAAACTCAGGTTCATAAAACATTGTTGGGGCTCTATTCTGTCTGCAACTATTAGTGTTTATTGTCCTACTGAAGACAGACCTCCTCCCTCTCAGAAGAAAAGTCAGCCTCTGGAAGCTCCAGGTTCTTACCATTTCAGCTTAGTATTTGTAAACAGAGAGCTTTTCCCCCTAGCCTCCCTACATAAAGACCCAGAGACTCTGCTAAATCCAGCTCGGCCTCTCCCACCCAGCCTTGTCTGTGAGCATCGGTACCTGGGCCAGGATAACAGAATCGCAACCCGAGCAGTGGGTGTGAGAAAGCCTGCTGAGCACGCAGTACCAGTCCAGTACCAACAGTGGCACCCAATGTCGATACATATCAGGCTCGCTTGAATTGCTTCCTAAGAGTACAGACTTCCTGTCCTGTTGCAGACCCACCCACTCAAAGTCTCTCCAGGCATAGCTGACATTTACTCCTGGACCACAGCGATGATCAGGTGCTGCTCGTTCAGGCCCCTCCATCCGAAAGGCCCCCTCATCTCCTTCTTAGCTACCTCTCAATTTCTACCCACCCCTCAAGGATTTGCTCAAATCCCATATCCCACAGGAGTGCTCTGTGAGTAAGAATTGCTTTCTCTGACTTGGTCAAGATTACGTTAGGGAGGAGGTGAGCTGTGGATTGGGTGCTGGAATCATGGCCAGTGTGTTGGTGAGGGTGGGGAATGGAGAGGCATAAGCCAAAGCTACAGAGACGTTAGGGCACGGCGATGATTTTACACTCCGAATAAATAGCTGAAACAGAAGAGTCATGTAGGGACGTAGGAAAGGAAAGAGACTGACAGTCAGTTTGGCAGCCACGTGGTGGAATGACTGAACCAAAGTAAGACTTTTCCATTTTGTGCAGGATGCCAGAGCTTTCCGATAGATTGATCTCTCTCGGGGCAGCCAATGGGGCCTCACACAGAGGGACCAGCCTCTTATTACCACGAGTATTCTTGCCAGTTTACCCCGGGGCTCAGCAAAATTCCCTACATCTGCCATGATAGGGAAAAGGCTGTGAAGGGTTGAACTAGGCAAAGCAGAGGCATGGAAGAATTTTGAAGATAGAACTAACATGATGAGAGCAACATCTTAGGATAAGCTACTCAAAATAAATACAGCTCAAATTCCAAACGGTTGGCTGTCAGTATCCATTTTATTCCTTTTCTGACAATGTCACTTTGCTCTGACTCTAAAATAAAGCCCAATCAGAACTCATAGACTAATCATCAGGAGTGGGAAGGAAAGGAGATTGATTTGCTCCCTCCAAGTGAATAGTGTCCCATTTTACCCCCTAAAAATACAAGTCATTTTTGAAAAAGCAAAGTGACAGGGCATCAGAAAAGGCACAAGGAGAAAAGTGAGTTTTGTGAATGGAAGACCATCCCATTTCAGACTGTTGGTTGGACATCAGCTGGGGAGGAAGTACCCTTGACTCCCAGCGCCCACGTGGGTTCAGGGAAAAGCAGAGGAAGAAAGTAGTTGAGGAAACAAGCTGGTTTCTGCAACTGCCTGGGCTGTGTTTGCAGCGGAGGGGCCAGGACTTTATTTGGAAGGCTGTGAATTTCCAGACATCACCTTTCAAGTCACATTTCAAACGGGTTCTGTTTTTCAGATTTTCCATTTTGTCGATCTCTTCCACAAGCAACGCAATGTTGTCCACAATCTTATGAATTTCAACAATCAAAAAGAATACCCCTCTGACAACGATGCCAGGGGTTTCTAAAAGACGTTTTGCAGATTGGAACTGCTAAAGGTAAGTTATTTGCAACTCTACCAAGCTATTCAGTCAGTTCCTTCAAAAGACTTACCCTGGCTCTAGAAATTGTGTTATCAATTATTTCGATAACTGGAAGAAGGTTATTCACAACCCTGAATTTGTCTGGGGCTGGATAAGTCTAAGTTCTTTTCCAGTTTTGAAAAGCAATAAAAGTGAGTATATATAGGCCATAAGACTCCATAGCTTGAAGAAACCAATTAATTCTGATTGCTAGCTATTAATGATGAAAAAAAAAAAAAAAAAAAACGTTTAGCAGATTCTGTTTCCTTCCATTCTCAGATTATTATTAGTTTATGCTACCTTTTGAGTAATACAGAAAAAAATGAAGCCAAAATATTGGTACCAGAGTGTAACAGGTAACAGTACTAACAGACTAGTAGTGGCGTATGATACTAGATGCCAGATAGCTTAGAGCGCTTTTGTTTAAAAAAAAAAATTTTTAGAAAAAAATAAATAAATAAGATAACATTGCATATCAAAACCTTCAAACTAAGTTTAAAGTTGCACATAATTTTATTAAGAAAAAGAAAGAATAGCTCTGGCCGGTTTGGCTCAGCAGTTGGAGCGTCAGCCTGCAGACCAGAGTCCTGGGTTGGTTCCCTCTAGGGGCACGTACCAAAAAAAAAAAAGAATAAAAATAAATGAGAATGCTACTTAAGATATTAAAATATACAATGAGAATACAACCCTGACAAAAATGGAAGAAGTAAAAGAGGTTTTTAAGTCAAAATAATGAATTAAAAAAATAGAAGGAAAAATAAGACAAAAGTCAACACTCATCCTTGATTATTGGTTAATTACTTAAAAATTAGAACATAGGAAATACTTCATTAACTTAATAAAAATACTTAGCCCCTCAGAAAATATTTTATTTAATTGTTGAATAGTTGAACAACAAAAAAATGAAGGACATCTGTGATAGTGTCAACAATTTTAAAAAAAGAAACATAAGAATAAGATTTGACTTAGCATAACATATTATTTGACATGATAAAAAATAAGAAAAGTACAGAAGAGGCTTAACTATTGAAAATAAGGAGAAATGTGCTTTTCACACAAGAAAGGGTTACCTACAGGGATGAGATGAGAGAGGAACAAGAAGAATGGACTTAGATACATTTAGAATGATAACATTTCAAATATGCACACTGTTAAGTACAAAATAAATATAGAAAATGAAAACTTTCCAGAATAAAAAACCAACCATCTAGAAAACAGTATGGGAGAAAAGGAAGACTCTACTCACCTCTAGAAAGAATAAACCAAGCACATGAAATAACTATAAATAACTCTAGCAAGAAATAGGCTGTCCCTGTGTTAAAACAAATGAACAAACTAAAACCACAAAACTTTGATAAAAGATGTATAGTACTTGGATAAATGGAGAAACATATCATATTTCTGGAGGAAACACTGAGTATTATAAAGAGATTTGCGTTCCCAAATTAATTTATATGGCAATAAAATCATTATTAGATTTTGGAGGATACTGAACAAAATTATTCCCATGTTTAATTAAAATAATAAACTAAAACAAATGACCTTTACCATTTTTTTCTGTCAAAGAGGAATAATAAGGAAAGAACAAGAGATACTATAACATACAAATTTGCATTAATTAAATGTTACTGAGAGACCAGCAACATGAATCATGAAATGCCCTAGAACCAAACCCATTGTTTATAAACAATTTGATAAATGATAGAAGAAACATTAAAAATCAACAGAGAAAATAATTTTTCCATAAGTGATACTAAAAACTTTGTTGGCTATTTAGAAAAATATTTTTTAAATTCTTAGTCTAATTTCACATTGATTTAAAACTAAATGCAAAACACTGAACAACAACAAAATGATATTTATCTTCTCAGTCGCTGGGGAAGGCTTACTAAGTACTAAAATAGTGAGAATAATTTTGTTAATAATCAGCTAAAAATTAAATGGTCTATACAATTATCTATATAAAAATTTTAAACTTCTCTAAGTCAAAACAAAAATTGAAAAGTAAACAACAAACTGGAAATGTACTTTGAACAAATATAACAAAAGTTTAATATCCTAATATATAAAGAGCTCCCAGAGATCAATATAGAGAATTACAAATTACCTAAAAAAAAACAGACATTAAGAGGCAAGCAGGAAATACATTTACAGGAAAATATAGGTCACTAATAAGCATGCAAAAAAAAACAAACAAAAAAAAAACAACAATCTAGCAATAACAAATGTTTAAAATAAAGCATGCTCATCTATACATTAACATCAATTTTTAGAAGATTAAAATAAGTTCTGGTAAAGATTGGAGAGAATCATTTTCATGCAGCCCTAGCACACATAGGAATTGTTTACAGCTTTCTGGATAGCAGTTTGGTAATACAGAATGCATCAAGAAGTAACAAAAGCATTCATGTCCTTCAACCAATTACTTCCACTTTTAGATTCCCTTTGATGGGATTAACCAGAAAGACAGGCAGCATTTTATTCAAGATTTTTCACTGCAGCATTGTCCACAAAAAGAAAAAAAAAAAAAAATCACTAAGTGTTTAACAATAGAGAGATGGTTATTTAAATCACAGTGGAGTGTCCATTGTTTAGGCATAAAAATGTTTTTAAAAAGCATTTGATGGCATGTCAGAAACATTCACTATGCTCTTGGCTATGTGAAAAAAGTGAACTATGAATAGAAAATATAATGTACAGAAATACTTCAAAATTTTATTGGACATTATCACTCAAATGTGCCATAGTGATTTATTTTATTTTGTTTCCTTCTGTTTCCATCTTATCTACAATGAGCACATTGTTACTTCATACTTACAGAAAACATCAACTGTTACTTTAAAAGAAGAACCTAGGGCCCTGGCCGGTTTGGCTCAGTGGTTAGAGCGTCGGCCCATGGACCAGAGAGTCCTGGGTTCAGTTCCCACGAAGGGCACATATCTCGGTTGCAGTTTGTCCCCGGCCCTGGTTGGGTCGTGTGAGTTGCAGCCAGTCCATGTGTCTCTCTCACATTGATGTTTCTCTCTCTCTCTTCCTCCCTCTCTCCCTCCTGCTCTATCTGAAGATAAATGCAGAAATGTCCTTGGGTGAGGATAAAAAAAAATAAAAAGAAAAGAAAAGAAGCACCTAGGGAACCCTCCTGTCATGATGCAGGATTTTGCTTGCTTGTCTATTCAGAGGAGTCTTCCTGAGAAACACTCACCCACGACCTCTGCAATCATGAATATGAAGCATATTCCTGAAGCCGCGCAGAGTTTCCACTTGGCATAGACGTGCTCGTTTGCCCTGTTCGCTTTGTCCTTGGTGTTGCCGTGACAGTGATAGATGGCTCCTGACTCCAGCTCCTCTGGCTTCTCTCCAGAACATCGAGCTTTATTCTCGGGTTTCTGCTGGGGAGCCACACTGTGGATGAGTGTGACAGGAGCAAGAAATGAACATGGTTGCGAACACCACTGACAGCCCCAGCCATTCTCTGAACCACTGTCAAGACATTTGCTACCTAATATGAAATTATAATTCATGGCTCCTTCTACAAGAAATACCAAGTGTAAGTAACAAGCAAGAAATTTTCATCGAAATCTCAACTACTGAAAGTTTTACTTTTATTCGGTCTAACTCTTGTTCAGTCTCTACCACTAGTGATTATGTGATATCAAAGAAACAGGAGAAAGGAAGCAGATACACTTTGATGCATTTCCTTCCCAATTACTTTATTCTGAAAAGATATTGGACACTGTCCCACAAATTCAAAAGGTAGTGGGAACCACATTAGATATGTGTATATGAGCCATCTGATGATTCAAATACCCACCATCACATGCCGTCAATGTCACTTTCTTCTGCATGACAACATTGCTAATGGATCATAGCACTGGTTCCCACCTAGTCCATGTGGACCCTCAGAAACCTTCTTAACACAGCATTACAGACCATCTCTACCAATCCATGGAATTTACAACGGAAGCTGAAACTTTCTTAAACTTCCTGTAGCAAGCAGTATATGTCAGTTCTGTTGGTTTGGCTCAAATAGAAATAATTTTGAGCCGTTTATAGAATTATAGAATTTCACAGATGGAAAGATTATAGATAACATGGAGTCCAACCCCACAGTTTCTTAGCTGAAATAATGATTAAGGTTCAGAGAGGTTAAGTAATTGCCTGAGGTCAAATAGCCAGGAAAGAACAGAGCTGGGATTCCAAGACTACTGTTTTTTACAGGTCACCCTACTCTGCTTCCCTACCTGAACATCAGCACATCTAAAACCAATCTTTACTGATGCAAATGTTGATGTCCACAGATCTTGAACTAATCAGATTTAAATCTTTAAAATAAATTTATTAGAAAGTATTAATAAGATTCTCAGAATTAAGTGTTTGTATTCATGGCTTTGAAAGGTATAAAAACAAAAATAAATAAGTTTCCAATTAAAGAGCTATTTTATTTATCTTATCACAATCTGGAATTAAAGGTCTGCAGGCTTTGGCTTAGATGATGATTTTGATTATGACTCCATTTATCATCATATTTGTTTTTTTCTGAATAAAATAATATATTCATTTAGAAAATCTGGAATTACAGAAGAGCACAAAGCAGAAGGAAAAATCACAGGTAACCTTACCTGCAAGAGACAATTATTATGGACATGTTGTTGTTTAGCTTTGTAATATACAAACACACTTCTCATATATAATTTGAAACCATGTCAGTTAGGATGTTTTTTATTGCAAGTACAGAAAAAAAGCTCATGCTGCTTAATTCGTAAATGGGGATTATTGGTCCTGTAACTGAAATGTCTGGAGGTATCGGGCTTCAAGCTGATTTATCAGAGCTCCAGATCCATTGCTTTGCAGTTCTAACTATGCTGCAACCTCAGGCGGTTTTCCTCATGGTAGTGGCATGTTTGCCCAAGGTAGGGCTACATACTTGCTTCTTCTTGTACAGGAAGCGAGAGTGTCCCCATTTCCAACCGCTAAACAAATTCTGAGTCACATGATTTGGCCAAATGAGAACCAACCCCTATAGCCAGAAGAATATGGATGGACTGATTGGCTCAGACCTTGTTCTAATCAGAAGACTGTCTAAACCCATCCATGCTGACTCCTAGAGCTGAGAATAGGGTGCGTGCTACTTAAATCACATGGTTGCAACTCGGTGGAGGTGGGCCGGACTGGATTGTGGATGAAACGATAGTGTCACCATAGGATCCTACCAAAGATATAGCTTTGGAACCTGAATCTTAGCTGTATATATTGTTAACATTTTCTCAATTTATTAAGTATTCTGTGTCATTATTTTTAACCTACAGAGATCATTGTATTTAATATAGATACGTCACAACATAATTAATTGATTTCCTATTATTGGGCAATTCATTTTTTCCAAGTATTTTCTCAGATAAGCACCAATGTGATTCATATTCTTACAGTTAATCTTGGCTCAATATATTATTATCTCCTTAAAGTGCCATCCTAGAAGTAAAATTACTTGGTCAAACAAAGAGTATCAGTATTTTTAAGGACTTGGATGGATATCACCAAATTGACCTCAGAATGTTTATACCAATGATGTTAATAGTGTTCAGGATTTTGAGCAGTTCCACATACTCTTCATATTGGAATAAGAACCATTTGGCAAGAGGTATATAAAACATTTATACCATCCATTTGTGCCTTTGTAATGTGATACGTACCCTGATAATAAACAACCATATGATGTAGTAGTGTGGGTCACCAATGGTCATCAACTCAGAGGACCCTGAGAACTGATAAGAAAGCATGGAAGAGGTTCCCCTTTCCTTGTGCTGAAAGGCAGCATGCGGACAACAGGGTCACCAATTGTTCTGGCACTGTTTATGGGACCACTGGTTGATTTGATATGTTTCATGAATCTTGTGGCCAGAGGAAACTGGTAGAAAGTGACCAGGAGCGAGAACTTATCTCGGAGCAGTTAGAAGGTAGACCAGGGCAGGAATCCCACTAGGGCATAGCCTGTGGGCAATGCCACAAGGGGAAACGTGCAAGAACCCTGGCCAATTTTTACTTCTAAATACTGCTTTTCTGTAGACCTCAGATGAATCAATATGGCTACATTTTGAGCTGAGATTGAGTTTGAAGCACCAAGCCAGACATCCAAAGGTGGCTTCAGAGGACACATTGACATTGAGTACAGAGTGTTCTTGTGTGTGTGTGTGTGTGTGTGTGTGTGTGTGTGTGTGTGTGTTTTATGGGGACAGGTAAGAGCCCACAGTCTTCACTGGGCTCCCAAAAGAACCTATGACTCTAAAATAAGTTTAAACCCTTAGTTAAAATGCATCCCCATCAGGTTACTAGAGCAAAGTGGTCTAAGTGTCTCTAGATTCAGTACAGGCTCTTGAGCTGAAAGCTAATGGGCATTTCAAGAATCTTTTAAAGATAGTTCTGAAAAGCAAATGCTAAAAAAAAAAAAAAGGCAAATGTTATGATGCTTCAAACAATTAAATGTAAAAGCACTGCCTATGAATTAATTACCATAGATTCTCATGCATTACCCTATGGCTGAGGCTCTGGAGAGCAGGAACAATAGACCCGAGCAAAAAAGTTTCCTATTGCATCAAAGAGAAAAAAAAAGGGGAGAAACAGGTTCCTAACTGTTCAAATGAAGGATCAGGATGAATAACCTCTTCCAGGTTCGATTGTTTTTATTTGAAAAGAAAAGATAAACAAGTTTGACAGTTTTTATCATCACCATATCCTGCAAACTATACCCATTTATGAGGCAAATAAGACTGTAAATGGTTGGCTTTATGTGCATAACAGAGTGCTAATGATCTATTTTAATGAGAAGGGAAATACCGTTATTTCAATAATATAGAGATGCTCTATACATAGTGTCCATAGTGTTAACAATTTGTTGCACAAAATTTTTGCCTGACCTAACATGAGACTTTATGGTTTATGATCTCAATAAATTATAGCTAATATTACTTTCTAAGGCACATAATTCTTTTAGGGTGAGGTAATAGATGTGCTTGATTCTTTGTCATACATTTTAAAAGCAAAGTTATAAATATTCTAAGAGAGAAAGTTTTTCTTTGCAGTTGCTCAGACATTTGCTTCTATCAAACACAATGCAGCTACTCTTTGGAACATTAATTCCGTTCCATGAAACAAACAATATTATACATATTATTAATGGATAAGTATTTTCTTAAATTCTGCTCCTGGCATGAATTTATTTCAGAGTTTCATTCGCTCATCTGTATGTATTGAGTCTGTCTCTCTTTGCTCCCCACTTGGATTGATTCCCCAAACATACGGAACTCTGGCTCCTACATGTCTGTCTTCACCAGGCAGCATCTCTGTCTGCACAGCTTCCCTGAAACCTGCTTCCTGGGTAAGGTGTCTCTAACCTTACTCTACTTCCCCTTTATCCCTCCGTTCTCACTCAATTGCTTCTGCAAAGCTCTCTCCGACTGCCAGTCTGGCTGAGACCTAGGTCTCCTTGAGATATTCTCATTGAATGCCCGCAGAATGACTCATACGCTATTCTGCAATTGACTTTTTCTTACATGTATTCCACATTAGACTCCAAGTTTCTAGAGAACAGATATATAATCTTTTCTTCTCCATTATGTATCCAAGTGTGTTCAATCAATAATTTTTAAATAAGAAAAAATGAATGAATATATTGCAGTGGCACTGTGGGGGGAGAGTAAAAGGAATCAAAACTGCATAGAAAATTAAACTCAGTTATTTTTATTATAGGTGTACATTCGATAATATAGTTATATGATGAAGAAAATAGCAAATAATTTTTACTCAAAGAGAAAGCAGAAGCTGGTGTGAGTGGAATAAGGGGGGAGAGTGGATTGGTAGAAGATAAAGCAAGAAGTGGGCAAATAATTTTAACATCAGTGTAACCACAATTTTGTCACATAGTTGAAAGGCCTCCCTTCTTCCTAAAGATAATTTAATAAAATTACTATCTATTTTAAAAGTAGGAATAATTGAGCAAAAGAAAGGTAAACCCATTAGATTATATATGTCTATTTTCTGGAACAATATCTACAGATGACAATACATTCATAATGTGTGTCCTTCATGCTCTTAAGATATTTAAGAATCAAATCAACTGTCTATAAACATGCATTGCATGTTTCAGGATATGAGTTCTACAAGTCAGCCAACAGTTTATAAAATTTTACAAAATGCCCCAAATTGCACAGCGAAAATTTCCAGTTTTGAAGCTGGGGGATCTAGGGATGTATTGAGTATCAAAGACAGAAAACGGTGAAGCAGAGACGGCTGTCTGTTACCTGTCTAGTGTGAAGGTGTACATCTTGGTGGCTTTGTCATTCACAAGATAACTGCTTTCAAGGAACTCCATGGTGGCCAGGATGAGAGCTTTTGCTGCTGCTGCGGTTATTCTGGTTGTTGCTGCTGCTGTTTAACTCACTGTCCAGTTTTGGAAGCAAAGCAGCATTATAATTATTCACACACTTTCCGAAGAAAAAGATAAAAGGCTTCCGGAACTTAATAGAACAAGCCTCCTACATCAATGTTCTTGATGGATCTGCTAAAATTACAGCCTCCTTAGAATATCACCTGGCCTCATTCTCTCACCCACAGAAACTCCTTTCTTAGGAAGATTTGCAGGTAGGATCACATGAAGAGTGTGTGTGTGTGTGTGTGTGTGTGTGTCCCATGCTATCTGAGTCCATTGTGCTTTCTAAGAGGTAGAGGAGCTCAGGGTTTCCTTCTAATTGCTGATGTAGAGGTTTGGTCTTCAGAGCACACCTGGATGATCTGCAAACAGCTACCCTTCTGTACAATACTCTCTTTTTTTTCCTCCCTTTTTTCGGGGGTTGGGGAGTCCTCTCTCAAGCTAAAAGCATTTCTCCTGACGTTGAGTTCTAAGCTGACCTATAAGCAGCTACAGGATTTACTTCTCTTCTAGGACCATTTTGAGATTTCAATACGGAATGGAGGACATGGGTCATTAGTTACTGAAGTCTGTAGTCTGATACCATTCCTGGTGTGGCAGCTTTGAAACCCTTTTGACAAGCAGGAGGGGCAGACTCGGCTTCTAAATAAGTAACAGCCCTCAGCCGTACAAGAACTGGAATGATCTGTGTTATCCCTGGCCCAGAGCACCCTCTGCCCAGGATCAAAGACTCACCCAAGGAAACACTATCAGGCAAACCAATCACAGCTCTTAGGGATGGAGTTTCTGAGCTGATCCCAGGCACCTTCAAGCGCAAACTCCTAGGTATTAACATTTGATTTTGTTACAAAAAAAAACTTTTCTTTTCAAGTAAGAACTGGCAAATAGCCTGGTCAAATGGCAGGCATTTGCCTGTGGGCCGAAGAGCGTCCAAGGCCTGTACAGATGCATACAGGGGGGGACAGTGCCCACAGGGAAAGGGAGCACAAGCCCGGCCACTGAATCTTCTTCTTCTCCCTCTGTCAGCACTTACTTCCTAGTGAGAAAACTCAGAGGCTGTAGTCCGGAATAGGCCCCTGGTCCAGCACCCTGACAATGTGTCCACCTCGATGAGCAGAGATCTCAATGACTTCATACATATAAAATAAATACTGTCCCCAGAAGGAGAATAGGATTCGAAAGCAATTGCAAGAGGCGGTGATGGGGAGAAGTCACCTTTGGCTGAGAAGGGAGTAGGCAGGTCTCCTGTCACATTTGTGGTGAAGCTGTAAGATTTCAAACGCTGTAATATTAAATCTCTGATCTTTTCATATGACCCTATTGCCTAAATGATTACTAACTTCGCTCTAACTCATGGAGACCAGAGAGACGTGGCTCGAGGAGGCCATGTTCCTGGCAGGCGACATTCTGGGCCTCGTGTTAGCAGAGTGAAAAACAAACCAATTCCTTCTCGTGTACTTAACTTTGCAGAATAATGCTTTATCCTAGAGAGGCAAAAGCAGGAAAGCAGAACAGAATTACTCATTCGTTCGTGCGACACACTGCCACGCTTACAGCTTGAGTCATTTGTGAGTAATTTCTAGCCCCTGTGAGAGAGATAGAATTCAAGTGAATGAATGTCAAAAACTGAGTAAATTACTTAAAACCGGGCTGCAATCCATAAAGGGTAAGTGCAAAGAACGTGGGAAAGAGACTACTTGGCTATAAATATCAACAGGGAACAGATCATCTGGAAGTCTTGTCACTGCCATGTGGACAGATGCTCAGAAATATTTATACGTTTGCGGTTCTGTGCGAATGGAGATACATTCTATGTTCTTAAAGTGAGTTGCTCATTGAGGCAAGGACAGAGGGAGGGTGGATGAGAAGAATCGGTAAAACTGACCCGGGATAGGGTAAGGTGGAGATAGGAAAAGAGGGGATGGGGACCCAAGTAAAAAGACAAGAAAATACTGCACCAAAAAAAAAAAAAAAAAAATGCATTCTATCATCTCTCTTATTTATTTGTAAGTTCAACTACATAAAATTGCCAAATTTTTAGTGCCAGTACAGCCTACAATAAGCAATTTCATAAGATTGGACTTGAATATATATGCACATATGTCTACACACCTATACATGTATGTGTGTACATGTATGATATGTTTAATAAGAAAAAATAAATGTGCATGTTTTAAAAGTATTGGGAAATTAGATATGATTTTCATCAAAGGTGTGTGACTTTGCAAGTGCTCCCCTTGAAGAAAACGACTTTACTATAAACCAAAGCTTCTGATGTAAGTAGCATAAGAGTAGGGATTAGGGGATGATGGCAAATAAACTTGTGTGTTTAAAAAAAGTAATTTTGCTGCAAGAAATTTAGATGTAGTTCAATTATGATCAAGAACTGCCTGTATGTTACATCATATAAAATATTCATCTGTTGATCACCTTATCCTCTTATAGGCTCATTTTAACGACACCATTATCCACCTCTGCCCCGTGTATTGTCTGCACAATGCTTATGAAAAAGTTCCCATCCTCCCTGACTCACCTTTGGCCCCCTTTGGCGTGCACTGCCAATCAAGGGCCAGTGGCCCTAATTGGACTCCACAAGAGTCACAAAATTTGTATTTGGAAAGCAACGCAGATCAAAAAAGTACATCCCCTCTCCTGTTGACAGTCGGTTTGGGTGGGCATTATGCTGCTCGTCCCAGTTTCCTAGGCAACCAGCTTCCAAACCATCCTGAATTACAGGTTGTCCTTTCTGCCCACTCTCCATCACAAGCTTGTAGCAACTGAAGGGGCAAAATGCAATTTATAACAGGTACCTCCGGGAATAAATATTCTGTCAGCCACAAGAACATCTCATCTCTGACACAACCAAGAACTGGTGGAGCTCTCAAGTCGGCAACAATTTCTTAACAGGATTTTACAAATGGTAGCTCACACTTGTACAGAAATCAGTTACACAAGTGTCTTACACTTTGTTTGCTATTTCACTTACAGAAAGGATGTGTGTGTTTATGCAAACTCACTGATCACCCCTAGACATTAATGTGCCAAGCTCTTATGATTTGCATTCATATTTGAACTCATATGTCAGAAATATGAAATATTTGTTTGAATGTAACTATCCTCTAAAAAGAGACATGAAAATGTGCTTGTTTTTAAATAACGTGAATTTTTTGTCCTGTTTGGTTCTTCCTTGTTTGTGGGGAGAGACAGGCTGTACAGTGAGGTGGCTTAATGCATGGGCTCTCAAATTAGACTTAGCTTCCATTTCTGGTTTGACCATTTTCTTACATGTGTGACCTTGAACAAGTCCCTGACCTCAAACAAGTTCCTGACCTCTGTGATTTTCAGTTTCTCATCTGTAAAATGGGTGCATTAATAGAATCCATTTAAGAGAGTTCTTTGGAAGAGTAAGAAAGAAAATGTGTATACAAGTTCTCAGCATAACTGTCTGGCCATATAATCCATTTTATATACAAGTGAGTTGCTATGGACTTAGCCTTGTCTAAGTAAAATGTCTTGGCTATCCCTGAGAAATTGGCTCCAGTCTTAGCAGAAAACTAAGAATTACCCATGAATGGAAGAATCCAACAAGGAAGTAGAGGTTATTGCCATGAGCCCTATGAAGTGGGTAAGTGCCCCAAACTCTACTCTTTGGGCTCAGCTTTCTAAAACACTGGATAGATGCCTGCTTCATACTATCTGATGAGTAGTAGAGTGCCAGTCAAAAATGTGTCTTTGTTACTGACACAACAGTAGAGGAAATGCAAACTCAATCAGCGTAATCGCCTGCTAAAGAGTCTATATATGTATCCCCACACAAACTATCAAGACATTATTTCTAAGTTGGGTAGCATTTTCCTAGGAAGGTGGTTTTATGGTTATTACTACAGTGTGAGGTTTTTCAAACGTTCCACCCAGGAACTTAAAAACAAAGATATTGGAAACTTAATTGCATTGTCTTTTAGAGAACGTTATGAAAATTTCATTTTAATCTAAAGTCAACATGTATAATACATAAACCATTCCCTGATATTTCATACCCTACTTGAAAATGAAATGAAAGTCATCTGAATTTTCTTTTCTGTTTAATAAATTGGTACTATATAACTGTCTTTGGTTTTGGCCATTTTGATTTTTAAAGAGATTAAGCTGTAGAAATGTTCCAATGCAAATACAATTGGTATTTGTTGAGGAAAGAAAGACTTGATAAAATATTGATACTAAAACAATAAAAGAAAGATTTTTATTAAGCCTGATAGGTGCAAATAAGACAAAAATAAACTTGCAGGTTTTTGGTGGGGGCGGGGGGGGGGACAGTAGGACTAGGTGGTTAAAATGTTTATGAAGTATATATTTGATTGACCAGTCTCCATGTCCCACACTTCATTTTCCAGGCACTCTGCAAACTTAAACTAATCAATCCTTAAATGCACCCTCTGAGCTAGACATGCTTGCCTGTGTCTAGCAAACTCCAAAGCAGTATTCTGCTGTGCCTGTCTCTCTCTTTTATTTACATTGCAAAGCAACTGTATATGTCTCTATTTTATTCGCATTTCCAGGCAAAAGAACATTTCAAGAACCTAAGCCATGGTTTTAAGGCATTAGAATAGGAAACTGAGACAAAAGCCTACTTTCAAATATCCCATCTCCTTGATCTGCAAATGCACAGAGCATCACCCAAAACTAAAGCGCTGGATTTGTGAACTTAAAAAAGCGAGAAAGCAAGAGCCCTCTTGTCATTATCTGCCATGCCACCATTAAATTTCATCAGGACAGTTTACTTTCCTTCCGTGAAAGCCCTTGAGGGGCCCATAATTCCTCTTAGGAGACGGATTTTCACAGCAAGTCCCTTCTCCTCTGAATCTCGAAGCCTGGATTTATTTGATTCGAGCCTGACAAGACTGCCTCTCAGGAGATAGTCCAGGAGACGAGACAAAAGCCGCCTG